TAATTGAATACTTAAATAATAATAATAATTGTATTATCGATTTATTATGATGACATTCCGAAAAAATATATATATACAATGAGCGAAGATGATATTTCAATGTGTCATGATTATGATAATTGAATATATGATTTAAATGAAAGTATAAGCTCAAAGACTCAATCATTATAAAAATAATTTAATTTTTAATTTTTATTTTTTTTATGCATTATTTAATTGCATGTTAATTTATTATAAATTTGTCGCATCATTTGTCGGACTTCCGAGAAAACTTTGATAATTTACAGCGGACAAAAAAAGGTAGATACGATAATACAATCAATTAATGGTATAGCCAAAACGATGATATAAACAACCATTATTCTCCGAACGAATCCTAGTAAAAAAAAATGCAATAAATAAATTAAAAAACAAATAGCGTTATTATGTTTAATGTTATTTTTATATATCTGGAGAGTTCTTTCACGCGTAATTCATAAATAATGGAAGTGCATTAACATTTTAATGAAATACTGGAAACTGTAGATCAAATGACATCGTAATATATATATATTGTATTATGTATACAAAAATAACAGGAGGAAAAGAAAAAAAAATACCGAATAGGTTCCTGGAAAAATCGTGTCTGATGCTGTCGACTGCGCGGAAAAGAGGCTTTGGTAAATTTTTCCTACGATATTTTTTTACACTTGTAGTTTGTTTGACAGTGTCTGTGTTTGTATTATTGTTACTGCAAAATTAACGTACGGTGTAAACGGCGGTTGACAGAATTATTCATGTGCGGTGGACATTTTGCGGCTAATCCATACACGAGGCTAATGGAATGAAATACAATTACACGGCGAACGCACGTCAATCGCCCCGACGCGACGGTCGGTGGCCGCCGACTAAGTGACGTTCTGTGCGGCCGAAGGGGTGCAGGTGGCGGTTGGGGAGGGGGGGGGGTGAGGTACCCGACATATGAACGAGAAATACTCAAATAAACTGTAGTTTTTTTTACCTAAACCATTATTTCATGTTAACCAAACATCATCGGATAATCGAAAAAAAACATATTAACGATTAACGTCATAAATATTTTATCGCGATGAGGGATATCGCAAACAGGTGCATTAAATACGAAACAGATTTTGCAATAATATAAAATCGCGCAAAGTAATATAATATATACCCACGCGTACATAATAATCATGCATATTTTAATACAGGTTGTCATCGTGGTACGGTGAGGACTGAGCAGTATTGTATCTATGTCGTTTTTCACTTGCTCTGCAGTGCTTTGGGTGATCCACTGTGATGATAATCACTTGGAATGCTCACAATTATACTCTTTCCATTCAAACATTTCAAACTACATAGTCAGCTGTACAGGGTGTAACAGGAAGACCTGACCAATTAAATAACTCTTGTGAAAATTTACATTGAACATTTAAAATTTAAATCTGATTAATTTTTTTTTCGAAAATTTCAAATTAGCTATGTAATTTGTGAATCTGATTACTAGAAAACTATGGATGGCAAAAACATTTATGCAAGTAAAATGGTTTACTTTATATGATTCTTGGAAATGGCAAATTTTTTGAAGTCGGCGAGACTTCTTAATTTGAAAAGTAATAACTTATTATAAGTATATTTAGATTGCAACAAAAGTGGGTAAGCCTATTTAAAAAATTGTAAAAAATATTTTTAAAAAGTCTATACTTTTTCAACTAGACTAGTTCAACTGGATGTAATAAAAATCATGAGATTTCAAAAAAAACTTTAAAATAATAAACCGCATATGAACTAAACAAATGTTTTTACAACTAACATTTTTCTAAAAATCAGATTTACAATTGGCTGAATTGAATTTTTAAAAAAAAAAACTATCCTATTTAATTTTTTTATTTTCAGTATTAAAAAATAAAAGTAAAAAATGTTATATAATACTTCTATAGTACTTAGCGCAAGCGCCTATAAAATAAATGTATATAAAAAAAAATGTATAACAAATTGATTAGAACTAAAGTTATTTTATTTGTCGGGTTTTCATTTTTCATCCTGTATTGTATAGCAATAGGGTTGTCAAACCTCGATTAGCGTCATAAACTATCATGTGTAGGCTCGCGTTTAAAATTGTTGTTAATATATTATGTAATAATTGGTATTATTCCTTTTCCTGCTCTTCGTATTATTTTTCATCATAACGTGCGCGGCTCGTGATACTCTCTTATCGGCAGCCACCCCTGTTATATATAACAATATATGGCGTGAGCACAATGAAATATTATATCAATCGCGACTCGGGGGTGATCATCGTTCATTTTATTAATAAATCGCGGGTTTTGCCGGTCGTGGGCTTGGCGTGATGCGCTCAAAACGTTTTGTTCCCAAGCGGACGATTAAAACTTTGTTTAAAACAGTATATATGAAAAAATGTGCCCAAAACACGAATTTAAACAACCTCGGCCAGTCCGGGGGTTTGTTTGTGTGTGTGTGTGTGCGTGTGTGCGTGTGTGCGTGTGTGTGTGTGTGTGTGTGTGTGTGGGAATTATGCGCAGAGGGGCGCGTGCAGAATGATTGCGCAGTGTAAAGAACACCGCGATGTCGTAACGAGGCCGCCGCCGCCGCTATATTATATGACTAATATAATAACACCCCCCGCCGCCGACCATCGTGTACGCAATAGGTTATAGTAAACAGTAATAATTTAATAATAATAATATTATAATGATGATAATTAATTGTGCACGCGGCGTGTCTCGCGCTGTATTACATAATGTGTGTATACGTGTGTCATTTATTATATTATTGTGTGTGGGTTAGCAACGAACGCATTTAGAACGAAACAAGTATGCTGTTGTGCAACTGAATTTTCGGGAACAGTGACACGATTGGTTTAGATTTTGAAAGAAGTGCGTGCACATCTGTTTTGCTCTATACCTCGAAAAAAACCATGTTTACATTATACTCCGTGATTTTTTAAGCATGCCAACCCTATTTGCTCGCGCTTAAATTATGCATTTATTCAAATTCTGATTTTGGAATTTCTGAATACCCTTGAAGATCATACTTTTGAATGCTTCAGGTTTTTTCATATCACATAAACATGATTCTGTGACAATAGAATAACTTCTATTTTTCAAAGGATAATATGTGTCTATAATAGTAATGTTGAGAGGGGGGAGGGAGGTTTGGTTTTTTGAAAATGTTAGTATTTACTTATTAGTAATTGATCTGTCAATAAAAATAATTTGAAAAAATGGTAAAGTTTAATAAATACTACATTTATATAGGTACATCAGCATTCTCAAGAAAGTCATCTGCTAAATAATGAACTGCTAAAAAGTGAGGTTTTCATTTTAAAAATAGAAGTTTGTATCACCACAGGATACTATCCTGAATTAGTCCTAAAAATATTAGGAAACTAAAAATTTGGTCTTTATGTCATTTTCTTTGGTCCATTTAAAGTCATTATAATTAAACGGTTTCTACTGTATATAAATTTTATTTTATTGCAGATTTGGAATTTAACACTCATAATGTTACAGTAAATACGGTTTACAATTTAGTGTGGACTCGATCGTCTAGATCGATATAGTTATAAAAAATATTATACGTCTCAACGACAACGATCACGTGACTATACGACTTACATTATATTATAACTACCACATATATGTAAATAAATAATCATAATAATACGCGTCATGTTGATTTCACGAAACTTTCTATTTAATTTTAAATGTAAATGTTAACGTAATGATACTACAATATTATTCTGATAAATGATAATTAATAGAGTTTTACGAAAACGCCGTCATAATAATTTCGTACGTCGTTTCATTTCAGTCATAAAAATGTCGACGAAATGGTGAACAGTCCAGACGAAACAGAATTGAATCATTATCCTGCACATACTCTGCCAAGTTCCACAGAGTCTATTATGGGTACTTTTGTGGTCTTGTGAATTGATTTTCTTTAGGTATAAGTCCCGTACTTTTTTCTCGATTTTATATTAATATATTATTGATGAAAGATGAAAGTATATATTATTTATGACTTTCTGTCTAGTTGATTTGTACGTCAATTTTAATTAAATACAAAACAATTAGTAAGTATTTCAACTTACTAACCGGTTTATGATTGATATTAAACGGGCCAAACAAATTGTTTATTTTGATAGAATATTTTATAACTTTTTTATAAATATGTTGATACAAATAAATTGTGCAACTACAGCATGTGTTGTCTACAATATTATAAGCTAATAATAATATACGGAAATAATCGGAATGAAGAATGTGCGTATTTGTATAGACGTAAGTAAAAAATGCTTACTGTAAATTAAGTAATATTTTACATTTTGTTACTAGATGATTTAATCGGTATTTATATGCACTGATCTCTTTCAAAAAATAGTAATAATGTCTTCAGAATTTTCTATGAAGCATTAACAACATAATCACGAGTATATACTCGCGGAGTAGAAACCAGGGAAATCGAGTGAAAACATTTCCTATAAAAAAGTTTTCAGCGGGAATTCACACAATCATGGTGAAGCTGTGAAATGTTTTATCATGACCGGCCGTTGAAAGTTTACGACAGCGAAAACTTAGGCAACGGATTTTTTTCAATATACCTACTGTAGGGAAGCCAACGGCTAAATAATGACGTTAAAGGAATTTTATATAGTAATTAAATGTTATAGTTTTTATACAAACGCCATAGTTTTAATTTTTCATAATATTCTTATAATAGAATGAAGCTCACAAATGTTTATTCTTCATAATATTATGACTGCCACGAATACTATAAACACGTTGTATTATGTATGTCTTTTTTTTATATCGCGTAGCTTATTAGGTAAATACATTATAATGAAAATGTGTATTTCCCAGTTACAGAATATTTTATAATAATATATGACAGTAATATATGAAGATGATAACGTTTGAAAACGAATATAATTAATATTAATATTATCTACGTATATTAATTTTCGCATGATATATACTCACAATCCACGCTGACTTTTATCCGTTTGCTGACCGACGGGGGCACCGAATTTGTGGCGATGCACAGGTAGGCGCCCATGTCCAGCCGACTGATCCGATGCAGTTCCAAAGTGGGTTGCTCCCATTCGCTCACTTAAATAATACAAGAAAAATACATTTTATGACATTATAATATGCATATATACGACGGACGACCAATAAACAAATAAAAACAGACCCATGCAGGACGCGGTATAATAAAACACGCAATAACAATAATAATAATTATCGCACCGAAAACTTATTTCGCGGACGAGGCGGTTAGCAAAACGTGGGCGAGTTGAGCGGGTCGGGAGGGGCGTGCAGGTATGGAGATAAACTGTGTATAATATATATTATATATAGATAACGTTGTCACGACAAATCTTATACACGCGCGAGAGTATTATAAGTTATATATAAATGCGCCTTGGGATGGATATAGGTATCGGTGGTACAACAGTGGTAGCGGTGGCGGCGGCGGCGGGTTTACGCGTGAGGCGAACTTTTGCCGGCCCTCGCGTTTGAAAAGTTTTCGGATTCCTTTGTGTGCAACGCAGGACCGACTGTATATATACACTGTCAATGATTCATTGCTACCAATAAGGATTGTCGCTATTAAAATGTCCTACCGCACCACCCTCCCCGGATCCGTCCGCGTGTTGTTATTATTGTTGTTCCAATTAAATGGGGCCCGGGAAGCGAATAAGACTGCGAATTCCGCCTTGCAGTGTCCCGATCGGCAGCCCTCCCCGCAAAAACATTATTATTATTATTATTATTATTATACGTATATATATATATATATATATACATAACCTGACCTGCAGGAGAGCGATAATTATTGTTGTTAACGTTTAATATTTCCATTTGTTTCCGTAGGTATTGTGAGTTCATGGGTGTCGGGGGTGGGGGGATAAGGCGAGGAGCGGGGAAGAAGACGTGCGCCTAAAACTTTTGACCGTCGCCGCCGCCGCCGCCGCCGCCGTCGATGGGACTATCCCCACCGCGGTTAGTAGTGCCATTGTCGAGTGCATATAATAATAATACGTTTAAGTGAAGATATTCTGTGGTTTTGTACAAATGTAATATTCTATTTAGCTGTACAGGTGAGCTCAACTATGGAATGCGAAACAAATACTAAGTAAGCGAATGCAAATACAATATTATATTTCTAAGATTAGATAATTAATAAAAGGTAAATTATGTTTATATCTGCAGATGGCCAGTAATAAAAATCCGTACCGTTTAAGGTCTTGTTGATGTTGATTTGTAGACCGTCGTCACGTTTCCATTTGATATCTGGTTTCGGATAACCATCCACGTGACACGTCAACGACACATTTGCTCCTTCTCGAACTATTGCATCTGAACTACTTAACGAGTCGGAAATCGATGGCGGTACTGTTGATAAAATAAACAATAACACAGTATTATTAAAATATCATAAGCAACCACACTTTTATACATTTATACCTACACTTATAAGTCTATAAATTACCTCTATTTTTTTTCTAAAGAATTATAATTAAAGTATTGCCAATTTAGGCAACAATAATTAACCATTTTACATTATTAGTTTTAATTGATATAAAAAATAAACGTAGAACTGATAATACAAACATTTTACATTAAACATTCTCAATGGTGGGGGGGGGAATTAACCTTTAATACCCCTCAACACCCCTCAACACGCCACTGTAGAATATGCATACTACATGCCATTTGGTACACAAATGTAAAATTGCAATAAATATAGTGACTTTATAATGACAATTATTGATTAACTCTAGTCCCTAATAAATGCAAAAATAAATAATTGCATACGTTATATGCAGATTGAACATAGATATATACATCTATACACAAATATACTATGATAGAAATTATAGTATTGCGTTTACAATATTTTAGTTATAAATGAAAAAATAATAACTATAAATCATAATAATACTATATACAGCGTTCAGGTTTGTCATTGAGATCGAAGTGGTTCGAAATAAGTGGAGAGATGCAATTGATTTATTTTGTTTTCGTGTATGACTTAAACAGTCGTACACCTTTTTTTTTATACATGTTTTACAATACATTTTTTTTAAATACTTAGTCCATATCGATATTTGTTTTTTAGTTTGGTCGCTTCTTTTTGCATGATATAACATGTAGGTACCTAAGTGCATTTAAATTTAAAACACAACAAACATTTACATTTATGATTCATAATATACATATATTATGCTTAAAGGCTAAAGCATTTATGTACATACAACTTATAAATACAAACAGAATGAATTATACCATTAAACAGTAGAAAGAAAAAATAGAAAAGCTAAACTTTTTTTGAATAAAAATTGTGATATATTTATTAATGTGTAAAATTAATCAAAATGTTGTAAATCTGAACTCTACAACCAAAAAATTAACATATTATATCAACATAAAATTGCAAGAAATTACTTTTAGATTTATTAGATCTAGATCGTCGTAGGTATAATGGCCCAGTTTAAATGAACAAACAAATAAGTAAGTAGGTACTTATTATTGTTTTTTATCGAAAAGGAATAATATTTGTAATATTGGTAAATATGTAAAAATTTTCATCGTTTTTCGTCGAATTATTGAAAAATTAGTATAAAAAAAACCATTGAACAAATAATTTTTTTTTAAATGTGAAAATTGCTAATCAACACCAATATACTACCACCAATTACAATATATTAATATCATAATTATAAGGGGGAATGTATTATTTACGATAAAATAAGTTTAGGAATGGAAAATTTATATTATAAAACTTCAACCTACTGGTTCCAACCAATATGTTACACATAAGTACTTTAATATATATATATATATAAACAATAATGTACATAATACTTATATAAACCTATATTTATATATATAGAATGTAATACCATAATACCCAATAATTTAAAAAGTAATTATTTAATGTACGTTTTATTGGCATACATTAAATTCAAATCATACAGTTCAGTACCTATAGTTATATACTGATATATAATATACGTTCCTAGATAAACCCTAATTTATGAATTATTTAATTTGCTATGCAACAGACAGAGCTCAAATACTACTCATATTTTGTTTGACATTATTGTAAACATAAAACTGTACACACTGTACATACTGTGTATGACTGAGTTTTTTTGGTGAGTAATAATTTCGTAGATTAAAAAAAAAATACCTTTATACAGGCAGCTCATTTTATTGACAGATGATTACGATATGTGCAATTACAAACAACTCAAAGTAAAACAATTAATCCAAAAAATTATTATGAACGATGTTATAATATTATATATTATGTATACAATAATAACAAAAATAATTTAATATTTTCAATTAATAGAAATGATAGAACGCTTAATTAATTGCATGAACCCTAAAATATATACATGACATATTATATAATACTAATCGTAAAAACAAAGCTATTATGAACACGAACACTTCCCAAGTCTCCAGGAATATGGTTACAAAATTTGGTGCCAATTGGTTCAGAAGTTTCAAAGTCTTTAAGCCTCATACGTATACAGACATACATTAATTTTTATATAAACATAATATAGATAAAAAAAAAACAAAAACAATAAATAAATACATATAGATTATATATGTATAGTATATACATTTTACATATTATATAAATATACATTTTACGTGGAAATGAACATATTGCGTCATCGTATATTATATACACCAAATATTTACAGTAACTGTAGTCTATAAGTCTATAACTATACTACCATGTTATACTTTATTACGGAGGGTATATATATATCCTGAATTTAGTACGAATTTAATAAAATGTATACAGAATTAGTGTTTACCACCATGCGGAAAACTGTGTACACGTGATAATAACAAAGTCACACATGATACATAATAAGCCTTTTAGCTATTCAATTAAAAAGGTTTCCTTTTTTTCGGTTAACACATTTTGTGCAATTTAATAAACGCGGGCATCTTGTGTCCTTTACTCCTTTATGAAAACATTATTGTGAACTGTATCATAAAAATTATTTAATTCAAAAAATTAGCAATGTTTTAATTTGATTTACTCAAAACTCCAAATAAGGTCTCACTACTCTCACTCGTCGTTAGTGCGACAGTACATAATTTATACACTTATACATATAAATATAGGTACCTACTCGTTATTGTGACAAATAAATTTCCTTTCGACGTGCTGAAAAAATAACACACTCGTGATAACACTTAAAATGTCACATATTATGTAATGAAATTAAAAACAAAATTATTGAATAAAAAAAATGTGTTTCTTTAATTGTCATAAAAATGCATTGGCTACCAATAATATTGGAATATTGGAGGCAGGTCACCGGTTAAATAAAATTAATAACAACAATTATATAGTAGGTGTATTGAAATATTGAATATTAGGTAAAATCATCGGTATCAATTTTGTTGAACCGAGCAACTAATGATACCTATAGAAAATGTATTTTTATGACAATAAAACAAGTAATTTTTTTAACTTAATAATTTTGTTTTTAATTTCACTATTATTACACAGTTATGTGACTTTTAATGTGTGTTATTTTGTCGAAAGGAAATTTGTTTGTCACTATTTTTGCATATAACGCGTTTATATTATTTATAATATTATATGTATATACATAAATATATAAATCTACACTAAATACAGACACCAACGGCGATTGAAACCTGCTAAATACGTTTTTCTATACAATAATAAACAGGCGTGCTGATATAACGCTGCACTGCAGCAGTACATGGACAAGTGGTACTCGTAAATATTACATACAAATATAATATATATACACCAGAGAGCTGGTATTGAGACAAAATGTGTCGTTAGGAAAATAATTAATATTACACATCGACAGTGTAAGCACCGTTGGCAATAAAGATTAGCGATGTGTCATATATATATATATATATTCTCTTTCTTTTTCCCCCTTCCAAAGGTCAGAAACCTTATGGAGAGACGTGTGCGCGGCATTCCGATAAGACGTGTATACACACACACCCACACACACGCACACACACACACACACACACACACACACACACAAATACCTATCTATACACACATATGCCAGATGGCGAGAAGTAGCTTAGGGGGCTGCGGCAGTGACGGTGACGGGGCGACGGCGGTTACCCCTCTCCACGTGCGTGTGGGTATACCACCCCGGCAACCCCTGCTACGCGGGGTGCACTGCCAGCCTTAATGCAAAACGTGCCTCACTTACTAATCTATTTTTTATTCCCCCTTTATCGTTCTTTATTACTGGCCTCTGGACTTTTACACGTCGACCGCCGACCTACGCTGCTCCTTTCCTCTATAAATGTGTATGAAATGAAATGAAAAAAAGACCAAAAAATCGTTTCGCAATATTACCGTGTTTTGATATCTCGCTGCACCTATATGTGTTTTCCCACGGCCGAAATCTGCCGGAGAGCTTTGCGAGGAAAAGATAGAGAGAGAGAGTTCGTGACAGCGAGCGCAGAAGGGGAGGGAGAAAAGCACTATAATAGTCTCGGACACAGATGAACTGCGTAGTAATGGTCAAAAATCATATTACTTTTACCTTGGCGTTTTCTTTTGATGACAGCGGTCTTTTGAAAATTCGGAAGATCACATAAACGTATATGAAATGTATCTCTTAACATAGGTACACAATGATGTTCCAAACTTTTATCAAATTATATATTTTTAGACATTTATACATAACCTTTTTCTTATTTTTCTCTGATAGTTTTAATTTCTATCAATAACACGGTCGAATAAAAAAAGTATATACGTATTGATGTTCAACTAGGTTTTGGGTTTCTCCGCAGAAAAAAAACAGTACAGCAGTAAATTAAATACTACAACTATTGCAGTTCAAAAAGAAATATCATGAAAACTATGTTAAACTTTTAAGAAATTAATAAAATTAAACTCTACCTATTTAATTTTAAACATTTTAAGAAACAAATTGAAATACACATATTATAAATGTATAGAATAAAATTAATTTATAACTATCATCAATTATTCGTTTCCATTCTTCATAGTATTTATAATTAGTAATTATCATACGTAAATATATTTATCATAATAATTATCTTACTTCTTACTTAATATTTATGAACAGCTGTAGTGTTGTATATACGTCACATTCATTTAGTGAAATCACCAATTTCATGAAATGGACATATTTTTCATTAAATGTATCCATTTAAAGAAAATTACGTTTTACTATATTATGTGGACATTTTTTTTTTTAATCTTTAAATGAAGTGGATGAAATTTATTTTTTCCATATTGTATTGTATAATTATTATTATATACGTTAGTTTCTTGATATTATATAATAATATTTTTTTCCTCAAAATATAAAGAAATATGAAAA